AGGAAACTAAAGATAGCCCAAAATCGACCCTTATACGCCCCCGTCCTTTGAACTACATCTATAAATCACCTTGTTTTGAAAACGTTAGAAATCTGGAAGTAATTTAAAAAAAACGTAAAATTGCCCAAGAAAGTAATATTAGCACGGATAAACGGATAACCATCGATAACTACCACCTCTGGTCCATACTATGAATATTTCAATATCATTGACCTTGCGAATGTAAGAAATTCAACTGTTTTTTTTTCAAAACTGATTAAGATTCTCTGGAAATACTATTTCAAAGATATGATAATTAAAGCCTTATTAGCCATCTCATTCTCAGGAGCCTGCATTTTGTTTAGTTTTTGTTTTGTTCGTATATTTATTTGAAAAAATGCAATACATAAGGCAAATATTTCAAATGGGATCAACATGCATTTTTTAAATATGTCCTACGTTGCTGAAGATACAGTTGTATTTTACATGAAATTAAATAAATTTTGAAAAAAAAAACAGTTGAATTTCTTACATTCACAAGGGCAATTAGTATTGAAATATTCATAGTATGAACATGGTTAGCGCTTTCATTTGAATGAATTATATTGATGTGTACAGTCGATTAAGAAGCATCCAATGCTAAAACTTCAAATATTGAGATCTAAAATAATATAAAAATTGAGGTTTCTCAAGTAATAGTTTACAACGTTTTCTTTGCAAATTGAGATCGACCAAAGTTCTCAAAGACAGTCTATGAGTCAGAACGCTTTATGTCATCGTGATAAGTTTATCAAAATCTACAAATTGTAATATATCCGGTTGAACATGGAGACTCGTATTTTGAAACTTTTCCTCGTCTGTGTGATTGTTGATATTAGTTGTTAAATACGAATAAAGAACAAATGACATGTTAACTAACACATCTATCGTCAAATCTTCCTTGTAAGAGAAAAGTATAGAAGAGGTTTGCTAAAATTTCATTCGTTGTGTTTGGTTCTTTGATTGACACGATGGATATAAGAGGGCACAGTAAAAGTTTTAAAAAATAGATAAATATGACAAGAACTATTTATTTGGTTTTTCTTTTTCGTTCAAAAAAAATGTAAAGAGAAACAAAATAAACAAACAATGATTTCTCATTGAATAAAATAACATAAAATAAAAGATAAGTTTATTTTTAGATAAAATGAGAAATAAATTAGAAATATTACCAAATGAATTATTTTTGAATATATTTTCATATTTTTCATGGGATGAAGTCTTAATATCATTCTGGTCATTAAATAAACGTATTAATAATCTTATTCTTTCAATATTTGAAATAAATAAAAATGGAATTATTTTCAATAAACCAGGTTTATCTTATAAAAAATTTTCTAAAATATTATTACCATTAATATTTAATTCATTATCTCTTTCTTCTTCCATTAAATATATTCATTTTGATGGGCTAAATTCAATTTATTTGAATTTAATTTATCAAGATATTTTTCCTCATAATGATAAATCAATTTGTTGTTTTCCTAATCTTAAATCACTTTATATAAGTCGATGTTTATTATCTCAATCATTAATTCAAACATTATCTTTTCTTATTCAATATCAATTAAATCAACTTACATTAACATTTGATGAAGATATATACGAAACATTTGGTTATGGACGCAAATTTTTCTCAATCCTTTCTAATCAAGGTAATTAACAATTCATTTAACATACCTTTTATGAGCAAGATTCGATTTTATTGTTTGGAAATAAAAGTCTCTCTACAATGGAGACGTAAAGATGAGAATGAGTCGCTAATTATCAGTAATGTCTCAGTCAAGATGAGATCCGAAAGCAGTAGTGTGACCCATTCCGACAGCTGGTGTTTGTCATATTGGAGTTGTGTATCATTGTCTTAAAAGCAGTAACTTGAATAAAACATCAATTATCAGATGCTTATTGAATGCATAATTATATGAAAAACATATGTTGAGCAATTGTTTTGATGATATCAACTATCTTTATGAAGAAAGCAAAATGGATCATCGTCAAAGGTCGCTTATTCTAAAATGTCATTGGTAGATCTAGTTGGGTGTATAAAAAGATAATAGATTACTTAAAATGATTTATATGTTGAATAATAATTATTTTGATTTTGTTTAAAAATAGATTTCACTAAATTACGAAAAAGCTGTTTGAGCAATTTCTGTAGGAATTACTATGTGACACACGAAATAACTGTTACCAATAGAAAAGCATGTATAGCAAATCAATTTTAGTCACTTGAGTATAAATTCGATACTCTCTTCCAATTATCAGTTCATAATCAATCAATATTTTCCTAAAAGTTGTTTGTTTGCCTATAAGCTCCTGGGTTTCCCTTTTAGTAATTTATAAAATATTCAATAAGTTCCACTTTTGAGATTATGTTTGTCCCAGTCTGTAATAGAGCGTTGCTATGATGTCTGACATGATCTTGATGGGAGGAGGACGTTTCTAAGGTGTCTATCAGGATCTGTGAAAGGAGAAGGTTGGGTTCAAATTTTTAACCCTATACTTCAACACCCCTTCTAGTTCGTATTTTACAAAAGATAATTTACTATTTTTATTATTATTTCAGTTTGCTAGAATATATTATCCGATTTCTGTTATTTTGACACTAATAGCTATACAAACAAATTCAAAGACTTCGTTCACTTATCTATATAAATTTTCTCTATTGTAGTAAATATCCATTACTAGCGAAGCCCCGTGCATACTGCACGGCTGTTTTCTCCTTTAACATATGACCTCAGACGTTTAACTTATCATCCGGTAACAGACATACAGACACCCGATATTATGTATATAGATGGATGGCCCTACGACCTCATACTCTTATATCACACATATTAATCATTAATTTCTTTGCTAATTATAATATCTATTTGCATATTTCTACAAAGAATTATCTGCTTTATGATTAATACAAAGGAGAAACAGATTTGTTTTATTACTTTTCTATTTTTGTGTTTTGGTAGCATTTACAAATAGAAAACAGTATTGTTGGCAATCTATTCCTATTAAGTGAATAAAAAGATTATATTTGAAATGTTCTAATGATACGAATGACTTTTGTTTTTTTTCTTTTATGATTAAATAGAAAATATAAAAAGTATGTTTAAACAAATGTTATGTCAAATATTTTCTAATCAATGTCAATTAACTTCTCTTCAGCTCGATATAGCCAATTTGTCTTATGAAATTCATCAAAGTTTAAATTCACATGATTATCTTTTAGCAAACAAAATTTCTAATGAATCTCAATCTTACTGTATAGCTCTACGCCGTTTGTTTATTCATCTCAATTATGCCTGTTTTCTTGAACATATCATTGAATATGTGCCCAATCTCGAACAACTATCGGTTTATTTTCGCAATTCATTGATCGATAAGTATCGTCTTGCTTTAAATATTCAAATACCGCAACTATCAAATGGAAATTGGTTTAATAAAGTAAGATGTATATTAGATTATTCTACTTGTTTGTTCTTTGTAAAACTCTTTAGTTAAATTTTATCTCATACGTAAATGTTAGTTCATATTAAGCTTTTTTTTGCATTTGAACAATGCACAAAGGGTGGTACTATGAATGATGTAACTCCAATCGAGACAACAAGTTTGTTATTAAACTAAGTAGTTTTGTAAGGAAAGTGACGATTCTCTTTGGTGACATCATAAACGAGTAATATGAAAAGTTCATGATTGTTAAACGATGTCAGTACGAAAAGAGTAGAAGTTTGAAAAGATTTTTGCATATTTCATCAATTAATCGTCAAAAGATGATAAAATTCATTCACTAGTAATTCATTGTATTGATAAGCGGAAAAAAGATAAAGAAAAATGTTGAATCATCTCATCAACGGACGGTCAAGTATAGAACATGATTTAACTTTAGTTAAATAATATATTTTCTAGTACGTTCTTATTATCAATAGAAGAGAGAAATAAACGAATTGAGATTTCAGAACTCATAGTGGATTGAAATGAATATTTTTGGATCCTCTTAGATTCCAATAGATCCTGGAATTCTTATGTATTTATTATTTAAATTTGAGCCTACAAAAGTAAACAATTTTTGATAGAAGACTGCCTATAATATTTGAGTTTCTTGTGGGAGAAAAAAAATCAATCGTTGGTAACTTTTCTACAACTCGTACATACTTAAGTAGAAAACCATATAAGAAGAAATTCTTGGGTCATATTTTTCAATTTGTTAATTAGTTTATTTAGATTCTAATCGATCCTGATAGATTTGCATCTGTTGAAAGGCAAAAAATAAAGTAATATTTCATCCAATTCATATATAAAGTGCCTGGTACTGTTGAAAGATCTATGAAATTCAATAAAAGATAATTGTGACATCGATGAAGTAAAAGTGAAATTGTGCTTTTCCTTCGTTGAACCATCGTCTGTTAGAAATAGTTTTTTTTTATATTAGTTTTCATAAAGATGAACGAGATATTTGAGTTTTTTAAGGTCTGCATTAACAAGTTTATCATTAGAATTATCTTTTCATAATAAAAATCGACTTTTTTCGATATTGTTAAGAAGTGATTGTTCTATAAATCTATCAATTTTTGCCAATGATAAAAAACTCGATTTCTTTCTTAGTGAATTTCTAGTTACACTAAATTGAGAATTAAAAAAAAATGTAAACAAAAGAAAAATAAAAAAAGAACGTTTGTATGTCAACTCGACTGATTAATCAGATAGTCAATTTCGATATAAGTAAGGGTAAATCGAATGTTAAATTAACAAAATGGAGCTTTTTAAGTGATCTCTAAGAGAAAAGCATTGCATAAATAAAGTGATGCGTTTCGATGATTTCGTTGGACATTAGAGATATTGTCATTAATTATTTGTAAAATAGGTACCAAGATTGGACAGCTTTACATTGAAAAGTTGTGTTCATACTGATTTTGAATTTACTTATTTAAAATGGCTTCTGAATAATTTAAATCACATTACAAAACTAGAGATTCATTTACATAGTATACGTATATGGAAAACAGATCAATTAATGTTAAAATCTGTTATTGATGCAAATTTTATTCGTCAATATTGTTTACCTGATCAAATAATTAATTTAAAATATTTTTATTTTTATATTTGTGCAGAACGTCAATCGCCATTAAATAATATTTCGAAAATAGTTAATTCTTTTAAAATAAATTCTTTTTTTATTGATCATCAATGGACAAATGTTCAATGTTTTTATGATGAAAATACCTTATTTCAACATATATTCTCTTCTAATCTTAAGAAACTTCAACATTCTATTGTTTTATTGTAAGAAATTTTTTTCTTTAATTATGAAAAATTTTGTTAGGAAATTATTTTCTTGATTATTAAGTAATCGTCAATGTATATATGATTGGTCTGATGTCACACATATTCAGAATATTCATCCATCATTTTCTTTATTTCTGAAACAATTTAATGAATTATGTCCTAATGTTTCTTCTATGAGAATTAATATAGGTAAATATTTTTTCCAATATATTTCTCACTGATCTTCGCAAACTTGATGATCAATGAAAAAATAAATAAATGATCAAGTTCAATGAATAATAATTACATACTTTCATTCATTCTTAATGTCATTCTACTCGAAGATCTAATCAGTTGATATAGTTCGAAATTGTGTATTTATAAAAGTTCACTTTCATTAATTATAGTTAAAGTAACTAAACATGACAATATAAATATCGTTTCTTGTTATTTACGTTCACCTAATTTTTTTTCAAAACTTTCATTCATTTCTTCATACATTAGGTTTTTTATTATTTTTGGATGAAAAGATACCTCAGCGGACGGAAGAATTCTTCATAAATAGAACTTTTTCTAGTCTAAATCAGGCGCGATAGTTTTTTCAATAGTTTAATACCAACTGAGCTCGACACTTGATAAACTTGTATTTCATTTCATGTCATGCAAAAAAATGTCCAGTTTAATTTCGTTGAATATAATTATAAAAAAGAGATAACTTGAAACAACATAAAAAAACAGAATGAATCAAGTGCTAGAAAATTTAGTTGCATTGTCATGATCTAAAAAATATGCCAATTCCAAATAAATCTAAATTCTTGTGTGCTTATTCTTCATTTTTCATGATTAGATGTTCCTTCGAAGAGACGTTTTATTAATTAATTGTGAAACTTATTGTCAGATTGAACAGTAAAAACTGATCATTTTTGAAACAGTTTGTCTATCTGATCGTACGAAAATTAAGAATTATTCATGTACCGATATTAATTGTGTCACAATCTTTTTAATCATCTATCTTAATCTTTTCTCTCTAGAATAATCGATTGTAAGGAGGTAATGACAGAATATATGTTATAATTGTGAATATGTACCTCAATATTTTATCTAACATTAAATATTCATTTATTGAGACAGATAACTTTATTTGTCATACATTTGATTACTTCTACAAAAAGTTCATCATCATTAGAAATATATTCCTATTTATATAATTTTTTTCCGACATATGTTCGATTGTTAAGATTTGCAGAAACTATACTATCACTTTTATTTTTCTATTTAAATACTAACTTGAGTAATAAATGGACGAATCTTGAGGGTGTGGGTGTTAATCTGGCTCCTGTTCATGTCCACATCCACACCCCACACCCACCCCCACCTTCGTGCCGAGAAGTGATGCATAATATTTTATTCGACAAAAAAAAAATGAAAATAGAGGAATTATAATCTATCACTTGTTATCAAAGAAACGCTAAAATGAAAACGTTTCTCTCGACGAGTACTTTTGTTCAGGTCGAATGTATACGTTTTAGAATAATCTAGGCATCGAATTTAATAGTGATACCAACATATTTGGGCATGATCGTCATTTTTTGCAAATGACCACCGGCATTCACTTCAGGACCTCCATCGCCAAATGTCACATATTGCATAAGTCTAGCTAGAATAACTTTCAATTCGAATCTAGCTAAATCTTGTCCAATACACTGACGATGCCCACTGCCAAACGGCAGAAATACATATGGATGATGATTTTTATCTTCGCCTAAAAATCTTTCTGGGTAGAATAAATTAGGATCAATCGACCAATATCGACTATCAAGTGCCAGAATTGAAAATGGAATGATCACTTGATCACCTTTATACAATTGAACACCACTATGTGGTAAACGATCATCTGCAACCAATGTTCGTACTGTTGAATCGAAAGGTGAAGAATAGCGAAGTATTTCTTTGATAACACAATCCAAATAGATTAGCGATTGGAGACGTTCTGGAGTTAACAGTTGAGTAACACTATTATTAATTAATTCGGCTTTGATTTTTTCTTGAACATGTGGATATTTGCTTAGCAAATGTATCGACCATGCCAATGCAGTAGAAGTCGTTTCGAAACCAGCGATTAGAAACATTAGCATTTCATCAAACACCTCACTTCGTGATAGACCTATGAATCAAAGATAGTATTTAATTCATTTATAGGCTGTTTATGGAACTATCGGACAGTTTTCACTTAAGTCGTTCGGTATTTGCTAATCGTCAGAAAGTATATCTCACGCGAAAGTCTTACCCTTTTTCAGTTCTTCGCTTTTCTTTGCTTCAGCTTCTTCGTCTATTTGTAATGAATCCACAAGTGAAGCAATTAATGATGTTTTCTTTCGTTGAGCTCGTGATTCAGGACTTTCATTGAATTCTTGTTCGATCATTCGATATATATATCGTTCGATGATTGCACGTTGTCGTTGATATTGAGGACTCAATTTTAGAAAAATTCTAAACAATGTATTTGGTAAATATGAAGCTATTTCAATTGTACTAAAGAAATTTCGAAGTGCCTGCGCCAGCTCATTACTATTTCTTCCATTAAGTGTTTCAAAATCGTAGTCAAAAGCAATCAATCCAAAAATTTGAAGTAATAAATTTTGACATTGCAGTACAATATCGAGATGCAGATGATGAACAGAAAATGAACGCCAATTATCCAATAATTTATCTGTACAATCAAGAATAGTATCGAAATTTGAAACAATTCTGCTTCGGCGAAATAAAGACATACTAACTGCACCATGTCGTTTGTATTTGGTACCTAAGTAGAAATTTAGACATGATATTGTAGTACTTTTCAAGAATAGAAACTGACCTTTAAGCGTAATAAGAGCACTAGGCAAAATAGCTCCATATAGTTCTACGAACCAATCACCTTGATCATAAACATTTCTATGAGTAAAAATATGTTGTATATCATCGATATTACCGATGACTTTAGCATGTACAAATCCGAATTGAACTTGATAAATATCACCAAATCGATTTTTAAGCGACGTATATATTTGAGGAAAAGAATTCCCTGTCAACAATCCAGTTTGAAGTAAATTTCCGAACAAAAATTGAGGAGATAAACCAGGCAATGGACCGTAGAATGTAAAGTATTTTAACTTCAAATATATCCCATACAAAAAAAGAAGAATAATAGAAAGTAATATGAGCCACATGGCCTGCTCGCAACGATGTATTCACCTTTACTCACAACTATGTTAACGAAAAAAAACAACGACGCTGCACCCACGATATGTGTCACGTTCTTTTTCTTCTTGTGTCTTTGCATTGTTGTAACAGAATTTAGAAAATCGCGTCACAAAATGTTGAAACATGTGTCCCGGCGGACAGCAATATGATTCATGATTGATGCATTGCCAGTACCATCTATTTAGTCATGCTACCCTTTGTTATCATACGAGATAACTATCTTGTGAGTTTACTACAACATAGAACTTAAATACACAGTAATGTCGGTCTAGTCGAAATCACTGCAGTTAATACAATCGAGATATGTTCTTATTAGGAAGGAAGATTTCAGCGCAGGATCTCAAGCGGAACATGTCCCTGAACAATCCTAACATGTGATATGGATATTGCAATAGTACATGAATTTCAATGTCGAGTTCAAGGGGTTAGTTACTTGTTTTGAAAAACATATGAAATCGATTATGAGGGTGTGGGTGGGTGTGGGTGTGGGTGTGGGTGTGGGTGTGGGTGCAAGTGTGGGTGTGGGTGTAAGTGTGGGTGTGAGTGTAACTAAAGAGAATGCTCAGATCCACACCGTAACCCACACACACCCACCCTCACCCCCATCCCCACCCCCACCCCCACACCACCCACACCCCACACCCACACCCCACCCACACTCACACCCACCCACACCCACACCCACACGTCTTTACATACTTAGAGAGCATTTCGCCAGATAAAAGTACCACGAGACTAGACCTCTGCCATACAGTGCCTTGTCAGAGCAGGTTACGAGAATCGCAGAGCAGGGCAGAGCCCGGTTATAAGTCTTTTTACAGGTTAAGTTGCAGGTTATGGAGGTCAGAACCTGTTAACCTGCGATAGAAATGGTATCGGCAACATTTTTAGAAGATTCCAAAAAGCATAGATTTATCTCAGAACCAACAAAATAATGGATCGGTGGTTAATGCATTGACCGATTGAACACCGAAAATAGCCATAATTCCAGATCTTCACAGACAAGCAAAATCATCGATTAATCTATATAGAAGCCGAACTAAAGCTCTTCCTGTCTGGTCTGTAATAGAGATACTACCAAATCGAGAGGTGTTTTTCGAGCAAAAACAGTTTTATCAGGCCTTGTTGTGTCCTAAATACATATATACTGACTTCGAATGGATTCCACATCGATAAGTTCTGGTGTATCCGATTTATTTCTAGTTACTCTTCGTCGATAGTGATAACATGGCAACTGAATTCATAGAAAAAGAACTTAGATTAAATTATGGAAGAAAATTTCTTTAATTACAAAGTAAGGAAGGTTACAGATTATGAGAAAAAGGTGCAAGGTAGTATAGGACAGGTTAAGGTGAAAATTCTTCAGGGTATGGCAGAGCTAGATTACCAAAACTTTTAGAGAACAGGTTACAAAAATATCGTACCGTATAGGACTCTACGCACATTCAGAAGTCATCAAGCCAGGGAGAGTGCGAGTGGAGCTCGTGGACATGAATTGTAATTTACTTGTTTGCCTGAATAGGGGTGTAGAAATTTGGGTTATTGAAATATAAATTCAATCTTTACTGAGAGCATTGAGGGTATGTGTACGTCTACTTAAAATTGGGAGAAAGGTATTTTCTGATCGAATATTTGGAAGTTTGCGCTAGATTGTTTTTGTAGTTTTGTTCATGGATAGTAGGCTTATATCATGGAAGCATCATGAAGATAATAAAAATGTTTGGTCGTTCTAGGTAGATTTTAATATTTATTGGTCAGTGGATAAAGTAATAATCTGGA